ATCCATATGAGTATCTATATCCGTATCTATTTCTATCTCTATCTCTATATCTGTAACTATATCTATATCTGTATCAATATACATATCTAGATCTGTATCCATATGAGTATCTATATCCGTATCTATTTCTATCTCTATCTCTATATCTGTAACTATATCTATATCTGTATCAATATACATATCTAGATCTGTATCCATATGAGTATCTATATCCGTATCTATTTCTATCTCTGTCTCTATTTCTATGTCTATCTCCATATCTATATCTATATCTGTATCAATATACATATCTAGATCTGTATCCATATGAGTATCTATATCCGTATCTATTTCTATCTCTATCTCTGTATCTCTATCTACCTCTATATCTACCTCTATCTCTATCTCTATATCTGTAACTATATCTATATTTATATAAATATCCATCTACCTCTATAACTATATCTATCTACCTAAATATGTATGTGTGTGTGATAAAAAATGTAAATGAAAGAACAAGAAGCCAATGGGAATATCAACTGCAGTAAGTAAAGAATAAGGAAAGAATGGAACGAAATGAAGGACGTAACAGAAAGAAATAGAGAAACCGGAAGGGACGAAAGAGAAGTATGAAAAAAAGAAAAGAAATCCACAGAAAGTAATACCGGCAGCAAAGAAAACACTAAGGCTCAGTATTAAAGCTTAAAGAAGACGGACATAGAGAGAGAGAGAGAGAGAGAGAGAGAGAGAGAGAGAGAGAGAGAGAGAGAGAGAGAGAGAGAGAGAGAGAGAGAGAAAGGAAATGCTAAGGGAAAGGGAGAGAAAGGCAATCACAGAGAAAATAATATGAAGAAATAAAGAGGGGGAAAGAGAAATGAATACAGAAAGCCTGAAAAGAGACAGACAAATATACAGAGGGAGAGAGTGAGAAAACAAAACAAAACAAAAAAAAAACAGACAGACAGAGATCGAGAGGGGGGTAGGGGGGCAGTACGCTTGAATAAATAACACCCGAATCCGTTCCTAGATTCCGTCTACCTTCCTCCTCCTTCTCCTCGAAGATTTATCTCCCCACGCTCTACGAAAGATGCGCTTCTCTCCTCGCCGACCCAGAGCGACCTTCACACGTGGAGAATGATAGATAGCGTCTTGAGAATATTCCATCAGTTTTACTTTTTCTTAGCTGATGTATCACCGTTGCCAAAGCGATATCTTTTCTTTGATGCAACGACCTGTTTCTTTTCCTTTATTTCTTTCTTTCTTTTCTTTGTGATCATGTGTTGTATATACAATCTCTCTCTTTCTCTCTCCTCCCTTCCACTCCTTCTCCATCTCCACCTCTATCTTTATCTCTCTCTGTCTCTCTCTCTGTCTCTCTCTCTCTCTCTCTTTCTCACTCTCACTCTCTCTCTCTCTCTCTCTCTCCCTTTCTCTCTCTGTCTCTGTCTCTCTCACACACACACATAAACGAAGGTTATATAAGTATTGTTAAAGTGTGCTTAGAAGTATGCAATTTATGACTGTAACCAATGAATTAATTACTTTTAGATCTTAGATAACATATTGAAATGGTATCAGCAACAGTAGGTGTCACACAAGGTTTCTAACATATACAGAGGTACTGCATCATAAATTATCTTTTTTAAGACCAAACAAAATGACAGTGAGTGATCACCTGCTGAAAATAGGGTGTAGTCTATCATGTATCAGATTTTATATTTCAAAGTCTGAAGTTCTTATTCGGTATGAATTCAAATATAACGTCTTTTCAATAATCGTCGAGAAAAAAATATATTTCGAAATTTGATTTATAATGTCCCATGGAATCTCCTTTTGATGTGTAGGATGAAATATATGTATTCTTATTATTAATATAATAATCGTTGTTTATCTTCGTGAAAAAAGTTACATTCGAAATGGTCCATTTTATCAAAAATTAAGGAAAAATCTTTAAAAAAAAATAACTGGAGAATATGTGCGAGCTGACGTAGATATACATTCCATTGTAGTTTTCAAAAACCTTATAGAACTGTTTACTTGGGAGTAGTCTTACTGAAAGGCAGTTTTCATTACTCCGGAGAATTCTGTAGCACTAGTGGAGGTAGTGAAATCGTGTGTCGTTTAACCGTAGAGTTACGCACAACTATGATTAGTGTAAGAGCACGCCGCCGGACAAATGGCGTGACATTTGGCAGCGATTGCAAAAAAGCTATGAAATCTTCACCCTGATAATGGAAACGATATCCCTGAGCCTGTGAACTATAAGAACGACTGCCAGATAACCGTCACCAAAGTTATAATAATAGTTATAAAGGCCACATTCTAACAGCCACAAAGGTCCTACTGGCAGTTATGATAGTCGTACATGTAGGTAATACGGACCTGCTAACAGTTATTGCGGTCGTCAAAGCAATCACAACGGTCGTAGTTGACCGTCGGAGAGGAGGCTTAGAATACATTTGTAAAGATGACAGCTGCAACGGCAGTAACAGCCGTGGCGGGGAGTAACAAATAATTAGAATACGTCATTAATATCTTGAGTGTCGTTTGGGCTCACACCAACAACGACAACTCAGTCATCACAGCGATGACGCCGGAAATGAAGGAGAGACTCAAGGAGAGAAGGAGAGGGAGATAGGGAAAGAGAGAGAGGAATAGACAGAAGGAGAGGAGGAAAGAGCAAGAAGAAGAGGAGATTCAGATGATTTGCGTGTATTTGTATATCTGTTTGCATGTTTCTTTGTTTGTTTTTTGTTTTTTTTTGTGGGTTTCCGAGCGCTCGCGTTTGTGTGTGAATGTGCGCACGTGTGTATGTTCATGTTTGTTTGTGGGAGAGCGAGAGAAATTTCGCTTAAGCGCACGTAAGCGAGTGGCGGACCAGGTCGGGGGATCTAAGGCGCTAATGGCCGTTCTCTCCTGCATTATCATGGCGTAATTTTATCCGTAATGTCTATTCTCGCCATTCTCGGGACCGTTATGACGGCCAGAACTGATCCATATTTGACCAGCACCATCGGTATTCCCCTCCCCTCCCTCCCTCCCTACCCCCCCTCACCACCCACATCCTTGGACTCCCTCCCTCCCTCCCTCCCTCCCTCCCTCTCCCTCGCCGTCAACATCCCTCCCTCCCTCATCTGCCACCCACTCTCTCCTACCCACTTCCCCTACACTTCACTCCGCCCTCTGTCCTCTCTTCACATCTTTCTTTTATCCTTTTTCGGGTGAGAAAAATACAAAAAAAACAAACAAACATATAGAAAGACTGATAGAAGAAAAGAAAAGAAAAAAATACATCCGTGTATTGCCGATCGTTGAAAAGGATTTGGCTGCAAGGTGATATGATAGATACAGATAAGTAGAAAGATGGCGAGAGATAGATCGACCGATAGATAGACTGATAGTCTGCCGCATAGATAAACAGACAAATAAATAGACAGACAAGTAGGTAGCTAGAAATAGATAGAGCAAGAGAAAGAGGGAGGGAGGGAGGGAGAGAGAGAGAGAGAGAGAGAGAGAGAGAGAGAGAGAGAGAGAGAGAGAGAGAGAGAGAGAGAGAGAGAGAGAGAGAGAGAGTGAAATGAGACATAGAGAAGAGCAAGAAAAGGAAGAAAGAGACACAGCGAGCCAGAGTCAAGAATCGAAAACTTGTAGCCGTAATGAACTATAGTATAAGAAGCTCCTTATCCGAAGTCCGCCTCTCATAGCAGGTCGAGTGGAGCCTAAGTATGGAGAAGAGATAGAAGGAAGGTCATAGGTCATGTGGTTAGCAGCTGACCCCCGTGGTAGCCTGAAGTATGGAGAAGAGATAGAAGGAAGGTCATAGGTCATGTGGTTAGCAGTTGACCCCTGTGGTAGCCTAAGTATGGAGAAGAGATAGAAGGAAGGTCATAGGTCATGTGGTTAGCAGCTGACCCCCGTGGTAGCCTGAAAAGAGTTTGAAGAGAGAGTCTGATTAGGGATGTGATTATAGTAAGAGGATTGTGTCGTCAGGAGTGATAACATTTCCGCTTTGTAGAATCATAACACCAGTAATAATAACATTGACAGCAGTGATAATGAGGTAGGCTTCACGGCATTAGTAACAAGAGGAATTCTAATAGTAACAGAATATTAGTAATAGTATTCGTAGCACAAGCGATTTAAGGTAACACCTGCAAAATTACCAATAACATTAATATCAACAACATGGATAATAGCAGTAAATAAAAAAAGAGAAAGATTGTATTAACTAAGAGAGTAATATGTCTTTAAGAGCATTATGATAATATCTTTGAAAATCACTACTGCAAAATGCAACATCAAAATGAGAGGTACAAAAATTGTAAAAATTGGAAATCGTGCATGCAAATAAAGCCCAGTCATCCATATCAGCAGCATTTGCCCGTATAATGATGGGCCACCATTAGTAAGCTGTCACTGAGCAGCCTCTGAATCATCACTCTGGGAATAATACGTCACCGCCCACGTCGGGGCACTCTTGGCCGGGTTTGCTATATACACGGGCATTTGAAATATACATATATTTATATATATTTATATACATATATATATATATATATATATATATATATATATATATATATATATATATATATATATATATATATATATATATATATATATATATATATACATATACACATATACACGTGTGTGTTTATATATATATAAATGTACATGGACATACACAGATGTGCATGTATATAGAGAGAGATAGAGAAAGAGAAGCGTACATAGTTGAAAATGTAGACAGGCAAGTTGATAGTAGATAGTGAATAGGTATACAGTTACATGCATTCCGTTCCTTGTTTTATATCTGGTATTTATTTTTCCAGAGCATTTGCTTTGGATTTATTAAACTTCAACTGATTTAGACAGTAAATACAAAAAATCCTTTGAAAGCGAATAAATTATAGAATAAGAGGAAAAAAGAAAAAAAACCCTTAGTGGTTAAGTTCACTAACCAACCACGAGAATCCAAAGACATAATTCGGCCTTAAAAAAAGGAAGAACAAAAAAAAAAAAAAAAAAAAAAAAAAAAAAAAAAAAAACACATGCAAAAAAAAAAAAAATATATATATATATAAGCATATGTATGTTCTTGTTCCTCCCTTTGTTGTTTAACGTACATTGTGTTCAGCACGAAGCAGATCACTGCCTCAGAGAAACGACCCTCTCGCGAAACAGTAGCATAGGTCGTGGGTCTTGGACTTCTTCCCATTGTTATAGAGCTAATGCCTGACCATCGAGGGAAAGGGTCTCATTAGTGGTTAACTTAATATGTGTAGGAAAGGTTCTGCGTTAGGGAAGACTTCGGATACGTGTCTTTGATAAGGGCGGGAAAAGGGGGAATATTTTGGGGAAGAAGGCAGGGGAAGGTTTGGGAAGGGGGGAGAGGGAGAGAGGAGGGCTACGGAGGTGAGGATTTGAGGAGGACTGATGAAGGTTGGGATAAGTCTACGGAGGAAGAAGGGGAGAGGCGAGTTTGGAAAGATGGAAGGAAGGGGAGGAGGGGGGAAAGGAAATATTCCATTTCGCCCACCCTTATCAAAGACACGTATCCCACAGAACTCTTCCCACACATACCAAGCTCCCACTATTAATGAGACCCTTTCCCTCGATGGTCAGGCATGAGGTCTATAACAGAGAGCTAAGTCTAAGACCCTCGACTTATGCTACTGTTTCGGAGGAGGGTCGTTTCTCTGAGGCAGTGATCTGGTTCGCGTTGAACACATTAAAACAACGAAAGGATGAACAAGAAGAGCTAGGGGGGGTTGGGGGGGCAGGGAATGTTTAGGAAAGGGAGGGAGGGAAGGGTACGTCTTGGAGGAGAGAAGGGAATGTTTGGGAAGGAGGAGGAGGCAAACATAATTATTGTACTTACTTATATGGCCGTCAAGTGGTTAAGTTCACTAACCAACCACGAGAATCCAAAGACATAATTCGGCCTTAAAAAAAGGAAGAACAAAAAAAAAAAAAAAAAAAAAAAAAAAAAAAAAACACATGCAAAAAAAAAAAAAAAAAAAAAAAAAAAAAAAAAAAAAAAAAAAAAAAAACACATGCAAAAAAAAAAAAAAAAAAAAAAAAAAAAAAACACATGCAAAAAAAAAAAAAAAAAAAAAAAAAAAAAAAAAAAAAAAAAAAAAAAAAAACACATGCAAAAAAAAAAAAAAAAAAAAAAAAAAAAAAAAAAAAAAAAAAAAAAAAAAAAAAAAAAAAAAAAAAAAAAAAAAAAAAAAAAAAAAAAAAAAACACATGCAAAAAAAAAAAAAAAAAAAAAAAAAAAAAAAAAAAAAAAAAAAAAAAAAAAAAAAAAAAAAAAAAAAAAAAAAAAAAAAAAAAAAAAAAAAAAAAAAAAAAAAAAAAAAAAAACACATGCAAAAAAAAAAAAAAAAAAAAAAATCAAACT